TGGTTTGGGTAATCTTCAATCGGACCCTGGATTAAGAACTCAAATGATAGATTATGATGCTAATATGAGAGATGAGGTCCAAAGATCATATCTACAAAAAGGACCTTGTCAACCTAATTTTCCAATAACTAATATGTCAGGAATTAATCGACGCTTTATTCCTCAATGGTTTGATGAGTTTGATTGGTTGGAGTATAGCATATCTAAAGATGCGGCATTTTGTCTCTATTGCTATCTCTTTAAAACAAATTTTGAACAAGTGGGTAGTGAAGCTTTCACTGGAGATGGATTTAAGAATTGGAAGAAAAGGAGAGAAAGATTTAAGATGCATGTTGGACCGGTTGGGAGCGTTCATAACAAAGCTAGAGAAGCTGCTACAAATTTGATGAATTAAAACACACATATTGAAACTGCAGTGAGCAAACACTCTGACCAAGCTCGTAAGGCTTATCGCACTTGCTTGAATGCATCAATCAAGTGCACTAAGTTTTTATTGCGACAAGGTCTTGCTTTTCGTGGCCATGATGAAAGTGCTACGTCAAGCAATAGAGGAAATTACTTGGAGCTATTGCAATTCCTTGCAGATAATGATGATAAAGTTAGAGAAGTTGTGATGGAAAATGCTCCGGGGAATCTCAAATTACTAGTTCCTTGCATTAAAAAAGAAATTGTGAATTCATGTGCCCTTGAAACACTTGATGCTATCATGGATTGTCTAAAAGATAGATTCTTTTCAATATTGGTGGATGAAGCACGTGATGTGTCGGTGAAAGAGCAAATGGCTATGGTATTGTGTTATGTGGATGACAAAGGGCATGTAATTGAAAGATTTGTGGGTATCCAACATGTTACGGACACTACTTCAAGTTCACTAAAGGATGCTATTGACACATTCTTTTCTCGCAACGGTTTGAGCCTTTCCAAGCTACGAGGAAAAGGTTATGATGGTGCTAGCAATATGAGAGGTGAGTTGAGTGGCCTTAAAACAAAAATATTGAGAGAGCAACCTTGTGCATATTATGTTCATTGTTTTGCTCATCAACTTCAACTAGCTCTTGTTGCCGTGGCGAAGAAGAATATAGACATTGCCTCTTTTTTTGCAACGGCTAATAGTGTGGTTAATCATGTTGGAGCATCTTGTAAGCGGCATGATTTACTTAGAGAGCAACTCTAAGAAGAGCTTGTGACAGCTTTTGAAAATGATTGCCTTATAACGAGGAGAGGCTTAAATCAAGAAACAAGTCTCAAACGTGCTGGTGACACACAATGGAACTCACACTATGGCACCTTGATTAGCATCATTTCTATGTTTTCATCCGTGGTTCATGTGCTTCAAATGATTATTGATGATAATCCCAATGAAAGTGCGGGTGAAGCAAACAAGTTAATGAGAGAAATACGTACTTTTGAGTTTGTGTTTCATTTTTTCTTGATGAAAATCATATTGGGACTCACAAATGATTTGTCACAAGCATTGCAAAGGAAGGATCAAGAAATTGTGAATGCAATGGCTTTAGTGAAATCATGTAAGGAAAAGCTACATTGGATGAGGAATAATGGGTTCGATGCATTGGTTGATGAAGTATCTTCTTTTTGTTACAAACATCATATTGATGTTCATAACATGGAAGATGCATTTATACTTCCAGGGAGGTCAAGGCGTAATGCTCCAATAAAGACAAATCATCATCATTATCGTGTGGAGCTCTTTATTTATGTCATTGATGAGCAAATTACGGAGTTGGAGGATCGCTTTAATGAGGTAAATTCCGAGTTGCTTAATTGTTTGGCATGTTTGAGTCCGAAAGATTCATTTGTAGCTTTTGATAAACCAAGGTTACTTCGTCTTGCTCAATTTTATCCTCAAGACTTTTCGGATGAGGATCGTTTGGTACTTGAAGATCAACTTAAGATTTATATTCATTATGTGCGTTCTAGTAGTGATTTCTCTCAATTGGAAGGGATTGGTGATCTTGCAAAACAAATGGTGGAGACAAGGATTTATCAAGTATTCAATTATGTGTATTTGCTCATCACATTGTCTTTAGTTTTACCAGTTGCAACTGCTTCAGTGGAAAGGGCATTTTCTGTCATGAATATTGTTAAGGGTCCCACTTATGAACAAAATGGGAGATCAATGGTTGAGTGATAGCTTTCTTGTTTATATTGAGAGAGATATTTTTGCTTGTATTGAAAATGAAGCTATAATGCTTCGTTTTCAAAATATGAAACCTCGTCGTGGACAATTATAGCTTGTAATATTGTTTCCGTTATGAATTATGAATGAAAGTACTATAACTTCATTTGCAATATGTTTTTCCATCTTAAATTTTTATTTGGACTTTTACACTAAGACCCCTTGTGGTAAGATTCATGGCTCCGCCACTGCTGCCAGCTAAGTGTAGTCTGTTTAGCTATGTATTATAAACTATCAATTAGCATATAGTCAGAAATTCAACACAAATTTTTTATTTGTATTCTAAAAGCAAAGGTTAAACACATGAGTAATTAGATGAATCAGCAAAGTACGGGCATTTACATTAACTTCCTTAAATAAGAAAAAAAAAAAAGATGAATCATTTACCATTAGGTCAGGTTTCGTATACTTCCACATTTCCTCCATGTCAGTCTACAGATAGGTACAGATAGGCAAACAATGTGAGGACTACTAATACAATAAATCTTCTATAAGCAGCTACATGACGAACGATAATTATAATGTGGACATAATTAACACACGAGGAAGCAGTTAACACATAGATAATGAAAATAAATTTGTTTTATGAGGTAAACCATTTATGTTTTACCCAGAACGCATATCGCTCAGATAAGCATTCAAGCAGAGATATACCATATGTGCCTATAAAACAAACGAAGACTGTTGAATGCAAACGGAAACATTGGCCCCAAGGGGATTTATTTTAAGCTCAATTATAAAGTATTAAGGAGATTAGATAAAGATAGGAAAAACATTATGCAACAGTATGCAATATATATTTATTGGGTCATGGGTTGCATGGTCGCACTAAGCATTGGGATGCCATCACAACTGGTCTAGGAAACTCCAGGAGTGATGTCTTTAGCATTTTTCTTGCATCAAAGAAATTACAAAAGAAGGAACTTTACATTCAACCAAACTAAGAAGTGAAGGATACTAACTAGGGTCACCAAAAAATCATGCATTAAAACAACAAAAATTTATTAATCTTAACATCCATATGTTGTTCTCACCTTAATCTTAAGATGGAATTCAAACAATTCACAATAAGACTAAAACAGTTCCAAAATGATTCAAGTTTAGAGGATGCCATATTACAATGCCATACATACCATAGGTGTACCGATAACCTTATATATGGTTACATGTGGGAATTCCCCCCTCAGCCTACGAAGCTTAAAAGTTGAATAAGTCCACACTGCACATGATATGAGTACACCAAAAATAGGTTTCAAAAGCACAAGGAATGACTTGATTGATAAAAGTGAATTGATTAGAACTTACAAGGTGTGTGGTCATAAGCAACAAAGTAGAAAACCGCTGGCCAAAGTCCATCTATAAAAAATAAAAAAGAATTATACACTACATAAAGTTACATGTGAAAAAAATAATATAATTTAAAAAAAATTACATGTAACTTGTTTAATTGCCCTGTCATAGTCATCCTTGTTCAAAATGATCGCCATGTTTGCGGGCCTTGAAAATATAAGACCTGTAAAAACAGGTGAGTCAGTGGCATTGGCAATGTCAACAACAAAATCATACGCAGAAGCAGAAGGTGGAAGAGCAAGAGGGGGATACCTTTATCGGAGCGTTCCTTAAAATGAAGGTTTGGGGAGGACAAATGTAATTTGCAACGGGGAGGTAAACATGGTGTTGTACTCGGGATTGAAGTTAGGGTTAGGGTTTGGATGGAACTACGAAGAAGCTTACGACGATGATGAAGAAGACCTACACAGGGGTTGCTCCAATTGCCAAACAACTGTCGTATCAAAATCCTTGAATTCCTCGCCATTTTTGTCTCGCTTGATTCCCTTTTTTTGCAAGATATTTCCCTTTTCTAAGAAGTTGCAAGATATTTTTGGTATTTTGAATATTTCACAATTCTATACTTTTTTCTTTATATATATAGAAAAAAATAATTAAAAAAACAAAATAAGGGAGATGATTTTTCCACTCATTTTTTCTCCACTTATACTCCCTTTAAATACATTTTAGGCCCCGTTTGGGATTGCTTTTTTTTTTTTTTTTGTCAAAAACCTGCTTTACTTTAAAGTCAAGCAGTTTAAGGTGTTTGGTAAATCTAAAATATTTTGATTATATTAAAAGCAATGACCTTTTGATAGCAGCTTTTAAAACTATGTCATAGGTTGCTTTTCAAAGCTGCTTTCAAAAGAAGTAGAGATGAGCAGTTAAAGAGTTTTTTTAATACCATAATTTTTTTTTTAAAGACACCACCTCCACCTCCACATCCAACTCCACCATCTCCACCACCACCGACCGCCACTGCCACCACCACTTTCTTCTCTACCACCATCACTGTCACAACCACCACATCCTCAACCTCCGCCACCAATAACCAACACCATCACGCTACACCCGCCACGCC